CGGGGAACTACTTAGACAGTGGGAGTAGGCGATGTGGCTCCAAGATGGCATAGGTGGGCCCATGCACACATGGCTTTGAACAACACATTAGGACGTGAGAACGTCGTCCTGTGAGCTGTGAGTCTGGGGGAAGGGGGGCACGTCCTGAGGACAGCAGGTGTCAGATTCTTCTGGGAGCAGCACTGAACACACAGCAATTCTGGGAGACCAAGAGATCACCTAAAGGGGTTACAGATGAGGTAGGGAAAAGCCTTCAAAAGGGAAAATGTATAAAAACCATGATTTCTAGATGAAGGGACCACACCTCTAAGAGGAACAGAGATGCAGGGACACGCAGACTGGAACAGAGGCAGAAGTGTTCCCACACGGGCAGAGGCAGCATCCCAGCTGAGTACTGTGTGATTGCAGCACTATTTATACACGAGGGAATCTGACTCCAATAGAAAACAAGTATTTGTGGGCACATCTTTGCTTTTAATAAAACCAACTAGGGGCACCTGGGTGGCTCAGCCGGTTAAGCATCCAACTCCTGGTTTCAGCTCAGGTCATGATATTCTTGGGGTTCTTTCACTCTCCCCCCCCCCCCACCACTCTCTGACCCTCGCTCAGTCTCTCTCAAAATAAATAAATAGGGGCGCCTGGGTGGCTCAGTCGGTTGGATGTCTGACTTCGGCTCAGGTCATGATCTCACAGTTCATGAGTTCGAGCCCTGTATAGGGGCTCTGTGCTGACAGCTCAGACCCTGGAGCCTGCTTTGGATTCTGTGTCTCCCTCTCTCTCTGCCCCTCCCCCACTCACACTCTGTCTTTCTCTCTCAAAAATAAATAAACATGAAATAAAAATAATAAACTTTAAAAAAATAAAAATAAAACCAACTAGTTTTCCACGTGCTATTAGAAAGCCTGGACTTGTAGCCACTTCTAGCCCTGCTGGGAAGTCCTGGAGCACTCCCTCCTACTCACCAGCTCTATGGAGACCGTGAGGCAGGGGAAGTGTTTATTAGTCAGCTTGATCTTCAAGGCTCTGGCATTCTGGGCAGTTTTCAAAGCTCGAGATAAATTTTCCGACGTCAGCTCTAAATAAATCTCGTTGTTTTCAGCGGAGACACCTTCCATCTGAAATTCACTGAAGAAGTTCTCCTAAGGGCAGGAAAAGAGAGGTCTTCTGTCCCTTTGCAGTGGCCTTTGGGTGCGGTCCACAGGCTTCCAGAACCTTCTGCTCACCTGTTCCAGCTCACACCACATGCTCACGCCTCCGTTGGCCACTTTGTCGGAGAGGATGAAGTTCAGCTTATCCGGGCTGATGCGGAGGGTACAGGTTTTGGCAAGCTTGGCGATCATGTTGCTGACGCCTGCAGCAGGGGGTTAAAGCAAGGAATTACCAGGACAACTGAGCTTAGACAACCCCCTGAACATGGTGAAACTGCTGGTGGAAAAATAACCCACTGAAAGGGGCTTTAACACGGTCGGTCACACTGGCCCCCAATAACCCTCATACCAGGAGTGATGGAATGAAGAAGGAAGGCTGCGGGGAGGTTAGCTGGAGCCCAGTGAGGCATTCACTCACTCAGCCTGCAATGGGGCCCCCCAGGCCTGCAGCGCAGGGCCAAGGGCCAGTGCAGCCCGACCAGAAGAGATGTCTGTGCTGGATACACTGTCCATCCGGGACAGCAGCAGGTTTAAGATAAAAAACTCCGGGATGGAAATCAAGTTCCGTAAACAATCCTTGGCACCTGCTCTCATGCCTGCCTGTCCCCACCCAGGTCCGTTCACCCATCCTTCCCCAAGAGAAGCCCCATCCACTCCCATGGCCCCATCCTGCGGGGGAAGGGGGAAGGGGAGAGGCGTGTCCTGCCCCTTTGGCCCCAAGCTCCCTAATCCCCATCCCTTA